CAGTGTTTTCCTTGCTCTGTCTCTCAATTCACTGAAGATACCTCAATATAATTCTTTTGAATTCCTTATCAGGGAGTTCCAATGCTGCATCTTCCTCAGGGATGTGTTTTGGGTCTGTATCATGGTCCCTTGTTTCTCCTGCTTTATCTTACTTCTTTGTGTGGACTGTGATGCTCTGTTGTTCCGAGGCATTGTGACATTTTTGTGTTTATATTTAATTAGTGATTGTATGTTTGAGTGACTTGCCCACAATTTTCTTTTTCTTTGTTTTGTTTGTATGTTATCTATGCAAGCAGGGTACTGTGCTCCTCTATTTGCTAGTTGACAGCACTTACACACTCACCACCTGTCTCCTTTCCTGTTGTCAGCCTCTCATATGTCCCTGGCCACCATGGCAAACAGGGCCTATTCTTAGGTCCCTGGAATCCAAATGAGAATGCTATCACTTTAAAATCCAAAATGGTTGCCACTTGTAAAGATTCAAAATGGCTGCATCCTCGGTCACTTTAAATATCCAAAATGGCTTCTGCATGTAAACAATCAAAATGGCTGCACCCTCCAGACAGCAGAAAGTCAACAGCTCAGGTTGTCTCCCTCCTTGCTGTTCCCTTCCTAGTCATAGACCACCAGTGCTGTTGTTCCTGTAGCCCTTGGTGACCAGGGCTGATCTTTAGGTCAGTTCTCAGGTCCCAACACCACTTGGAAATATTCAGGCTGTTGGTCCCATCAGAGTAACTGACAGTCTGCAGCTCCAACCATCTCTGTGCTCACTGTTTCTGTTCAGGTTTTTCCACTAGTTGGTTCCTAATCCACTTCTATATAGTTCCTTTCAAAGCTCAGGGCTCCAGGATTATCTTCTGTATCTCTGTCACGGGTTTTTCTTTTCTTTGTTCTTCAACAAGGGTCTAAGACGCTTGTCTGCCTATTCCTCCATCGTACTGGAAGTCCCCACCCTAACTTTCATGTACCTTTAAAGCCTCAGTTTCCTCATCTAGAAAATAGGGGCAATTATCATCACTACCTGTTATGATTATTGTGAAGATTAAGTGAGATATTATTTGTATGCTTTGTAGATACTCGAAATATGTGCTTCTATTATGATTGATTACTTATGCCAAGAGCTCTGCTGGTATAGTGACTAAGGCATCCTACTGCTAACCAGAAGGTTGGCAGTTCAAACTCACCAATCACTCCACAGAAGGAAAATGGGACAATCTACTTCTGTAAAGATTTACTGCCTTAGACACCCAATGAGGGTCGCTATGAGTTGGAATCAACTCAATGGCAGTGAGTTTGGTTTTTTTATGCTGGGACACTGTACAGTATGGCTTGATCTAAGTAACCTGGAAAGTTTTCATTTTATTAACATTGAGTTTTTGTTTTATTTTTTTCCTTGAGAGGGCTGTTTTATTTCTACATGCTGCAATGTGATGAGATGGGGCTAGTCCTGGAATATCTACCCTAGGAGAGGACTGGGTTGAAAGGCCACCTTCCTCTCCCTATTGCTAACTACTCCAGCTCAATACCTAAATGCTTAGAAGCCTCGGGCTTCAGGGTTGAAACACTCAGAAGTATGTTGAAACATCAGCAACAGAAGCATTAGCAAGAAGGCTATCCCCAGATATATCCCCGTATCTCAGGACTCTGATCTGATCAACTCCAGTTCTTCCACAGAATGGGGGTGCACTTCCTACAGGCAGGAATTCTCTATTCATTCTAAAAGAGGGGTGTCAGGAAAACTGTGTTAAATATTAATACCACCTGTAAAGGCTTAACTTCCAGTGGCTCCTTGTGATGGGAGCCTCAGGAAAGGAGGAAGTGAGGGGACAGACCCTGAGCTGCTATGGCAGACATAGTGCTAATTGCTCGCACATACTTTGTTTCACAAGGCCTTCTTTCCAGGCCCTCACTACCCACCATCAAGAATGCCAGGGTGCAGGCCACATCACCCAGCAGCTGTTTCACTGCCTGACCCCACTTCCTGGTTTACAAAGGTCTTTCTTTAGTAATTCCCTGCTTGTAATTGATTGACTGTGGGGATAATTGATGCAGGAACAGGGGGAGGCAGAACACAGAGTACCCTTGAGTAATCATCTCCTCTGTTCAACTTCGCAGTGCGGCTTTCTGATCCCAAATCATCCAATCTGTGTGGGAACCGAGCATATGGAAAATCTTTGGTAAGTAAAAGCTATAACTGGTTACTTGTAGCCGTTATGCTTTAAACTACTTGCTATGCCTGTATTAACTGTGCCATGAACAGGGACTAATTGTCCTTTGTTCCAGGCTTGAGAATTATCAGAAAAGCTCAGCTGAGGATTCTTTGCCAAAAGCATGTCATTTGACCCTGTGTTGTGTTCTTATGGCACCCACCAGCTACTTCTATTTCTCTTACCAGAAATTCAGTACTTAGGCAAACAGAAAGAGGTATTACCCAATGGACATCTCATAAACAGGAAGAAAGAACTGGTTTCCAGCTTAGGCCTCTGTCAGGTGGAAATGCTTGATTAATTCCAAGTATAGCTACAGGAGTAAGGAGACGTAAGGTTCTCAAGCCCTATGAAAACACAAAATAGCAGAAATCTCAGGAGAGGGGCACCTCCTTTGGAGGATATCTGCTCAGATCAGTATCTTTGGAAGCTGACACTGAGATGAGTTTAGGGTTGATGAGTTTCCACTTTCAAGTGAGGCGAAACATTATCCAGTTCTGCATGGTCCCCATGACCGGCTGGGGCTTGGACAATGTTCCATTGTAATCCATTGGTCAGTTTTCAACAAGAGATCAGTAGGCCTTTCTCCTTAGCTTGTCTTAGTCTTGAAGTTCTGCTGAAATCTGTTCAGCATCACAGCAACACGCAAGCCTTCACTGACAGACAGATGGTGGCTGTGCATCAGATGGCTTGGCAGGGAATTGAACCCAGTTCTCCCTCATAGAAGGTAAGAATTCTACCATCGAACCACCAAGACCTCAATGGGATTTGGGTACAAGATGGACATTAGGGATCAACACCAATGACAGGATAAGGGACGCAGCCTTGGGGGTGGAAGCAGCTGAACAGCCATGCAGGCCTAACAGCTCCCACAGAGAGCTCAGGGTGAGAGGTGTCCATTAGGATTGTCTCAAGTGAGGCCAAAATGGCTCGAGCTTTATGATCCCTCCTCATTCTGCTTAACCAGAACATTCGCAGTTTGAACCCACCAGCCGCTCCATGGAAGAAAGATTGGGCAGTCTGCTTCTTTAAAGATTTATAGCCTTGGAAACGCAATGAGGATTGCTGTGAGTTGGAATCAAATTGATGGCAGTGAGTTTGGTTCTTTTTATGAGTTTCATCCATTTGGGGGCTACCCAAAGGTTTGGGGCCCTCTGCAGTGGAAGTCAACCCAGAAGGTCCTTGAAGGAGGATCCAGGTGGCACATCTCCAGGACCATCTTAACATCAATCTGAATTAAAACAAACAAACAAACAAAAACACCTTCATTTTCTTCTGGGCATTAATGTCTGTTCCCTCTCAGTTAGCAGTCTGTTCTTGGAGTTGTGGCTGAGGCTGAGGTCAGCTGGGCATTCTAGGAAATCCTAGGCTTTTTAAATATCAATTCTCAAGATTCATAGAATCATAAAATGGCAGAACTAGAAGACATCTGTGAGACTGGCTAGGCAGCCACCTCATCCTGATTTAACAAACTGGGCAGAGATGTTGAGAGCTTCACTGGTGGACTTGCCAGGAAATATAACGCAGAGATCCCATTCAGCTCATCACATGCTAAGAAATCCACACAGAGTGGCAGGGATGGAACAGGCTGTTTTGCCAGGGAGCCCCTTGTCCCAACTTCATACTCAGGGAAAATGGGGGAGGCTGGGTCATTGCCATAGGGGAAGATCATCCAGCTATGACAGGCCAAGCAGCTGCCTTTGTGGGGTTCAGAGGAAGACCCAGATGAAGGGGAGGAGCAAGGCTCACTGCCCCCAACACTTGGATGAGTTCAGAGAACACCTTTGGCAGTGAGATGGCTGCAGTGGGAGGCCAGAGCAAGTGGAATGGGATAGTTTGAGGCAATAGTAAGGGGACTGAGAAGAGGCTGACTAGCCCCCACCTTCCTGGTCCTGAGAAGTGGGCTGGGTACTGAGGCTCCCAGTAAGGAAAGAGAGGAAAAGAAATGGGGAAAAAGGACCTTTCCTCTAGAGCAAAGGAGGGGTAAGTTTGGATTCAGGATGTTGGCATGAGGAGGAGGGAGAATGAGAATGCCAGAGAGGCCACAAGGTGGCACAGTAACTCTGCCCACAGTGTGGACCATCTCAGGGAAGGAGGGGTAGGGTGGGAAAAACTGGAATTTCCTCCCAGAAATCCCAGGAATGTCACACCTTTAAGCATTTGATGGGGTTTGGGATGGAGGAACAAAGCCCAATGTGTAGGGTTCACCCATTGACCTCTGGAGTGGTCAGACCATTTGTGAATTTTCAAGTTAGTATTGGTTCAAACCCACCAGCAACTCCTTGGAAGGAAGACGGGGCAATCTACTTCCGTAGTGATACTGCCTCGGAAACCCAAGGAGGGGTCGCTATGAGTTGGGTCCAACTTGATGGCACATAACAACAACATATGTCAAGTGAGCACTTACCACCTCCTTTGGAAGGACTAAGAGGGCCACAAAAGGCCTCTTTATAGGGAAGAGCAGACTGGGCAAACATATGGAACAACCAGAGAACCATAAAAAGATGGAACTGGTGGGATGCCAAACCATGTCACATAGACACTAAGAGCTGGGGGGTAGGGGGGGACATCAGGACAGAGAAAGATCAATTCAGGCTACAGTCAAGGCAGGAAGATATGAGACCTCAATCCAGACAGTCAAAGAAAAGCCAAGAGAAGATGCAAAGTTGTGTACAAACACTGAGGGTGTGGTGGCATTGGGAGTCGGGAAGACAGCAGCATGACCAGCCTTAACTGGTATCGACTATGCACTGGGGCATAGCAGAAGGGGAGCTGCTGGCACAGATAAGATGGAGGCTGCCTATGAGGAGCTTTGAAGAGCAAGGTGCAGAACTGGTCTAAGTTTGCTGTAGAGTGGGGAGTCCCTATGGGTTCTAGATTTAAGCAGCAGGATGGTGAATTTGGTGGGTCTGGTCAGAAACAAGAAGATCCCAAGTGACAGGTCCTTGAAGGCTGTATCAGTGGGAATGAGAGGATGGTAATCCAGGAAGTATTTCAAAACAAGAACCTTCCGGATTTGACAACAGATTGGATACAGGAGATGGAGGTGTGAGGGGTGACCAAGCTCTCAGGTAAAACTGAGTTGCTGTTTCTCTAGGTCAGTGGTTCTCAAAGTGGGCCCTTGAACTAATAGCATCATCAGCACATGGGAACTTGCTGGAAATGCAAATTCTCAGACTCCACTTTAGACCTGCAGAATCAGGAAATGGGGTGGGATCCAGCAATCTGCTTTAATAAACGCTCCAAGGAGTCTGTGGGCCATTGAGGTATATAAAACTATCATTCTAGGCTCATTGTTCTTCAGACAGTTTAGTCATTCCTCTTTCAAATGGCCCCAGTCAGATCCACAGTTGGAGACATGGGTACATCCTCACATTCCTTTCCTCTCCTCCCTAAACAGATTCCTCTGGTCCCCCGGATTTCAGTGAAAGGCCCACTGGCAGTGGAGGCAGCAGCCACAAGCTCTGAGAACAGCACTGTTATGGCAGAGGGGTAAGTACTGGGCCTTCAGCTCTGATCCTTCACAGAAGAGCAGGTGGCCTGTTTACAGGCAATCAAGATGCTAAAACAAAAGCCATGCCAGCTGTAAATTACCTTTTAATGAGCGTAATAATCTTAGCTTTCTGCAGCTGCCTAGTCAACTGTTTCCCTAGGATTAAGCTGAAGTGACTGTGATGGTTTCCACTCCATTAATGCCAGCTTTTTTAGTCTTGAAGATATCTCACTTGGGAGGGTTTTGGATTAATTAGATGCATGTAATCATGAGCAATATTCAGAGCCTCCCACAGGCAATTTGGTGTCAGAAATGCCTCAGGAATTCGGTCAAGGGCCCCTGCTGAAGGTGAAGAAGAGTGTGAAATACAAGACAATGCTTTCAAACCAGTCTTATAACCACTGTGACACTATTAACTCTGGTCCAGACCAGCAGCCAGGGTAGCAGGAGTGGATAATCCCCCCACCTTCAAAATTGAACCCCAGAGCTATGTGATTCCAAAAGTCATGCTTTTTTCAATAGCTGATACTTTGGGGCATCTGGTCTTTCCAGCAAGATTGTTTGCATAGACATAGAATTACCACATGACCCAGCAATTCCACTCCTAGATATATACTCAAAAGACTTGAAAATGAACTCATCTATTTGTATATCAGTGTTCATTGCAACATTATCACAACAGTCAAAAGGTTAAAAACAACCCAATGTCTATCAATAAATGAATGAATAAACAAAATGTGATACACAAACATACACGATAGAATACTACTCAACCATAAAGAGAGATAAGTTCTGATACATGCTACAACATGAGGAAGCCTTGAAAACATTATGCTGAATTAAGTCTGATACAAAACGACAAATAGTGCATCTCACTTACATGAACTATCTGGAAGAGACAAACTCATAGATATGGAAAGTACATTAGTGGTTACAGAAGATGGGGGCTGAGGAGAGGGGTTAAAGGGAGTTATTGCTTAGCGAATACAGAGTTTCTTTTTGGGGTGATGAAAAATTTTGTGGTGGTTATGGTTACAAAATTTAAAAAAAACCTAACTTTGCATTTTTGAAAAATAAATTAGGGTGAATTCAAGGTTACATTGATTTATTTAATTACTTGCATAGAGGAAGGAAGGGTAGAAAATAGGGCAATAAAGATGCTTTGTATCTTCCTATTCCTAAGAGGCTCTGACAGGTTAGACCCAGAGGGTGGGGCCAGGAGCAGAACTTGAGGTCTCACGGGCCAGAGTACCCAGGGGCCCTCCTTCCTCATCCCTTGCAGTGCTCACCCAGGCAGAGTCTTTCCTGTGGGGATTCCAGCAGTGACCCTCCAACCATGCAGAGTTTGGTGACAGGATGTGCTAGCAGAGAAGCAGTGAGAGCGCTGGCCAAGCTTGTCTAGGGCAAAAAATTAAAAATCTGTCTCAATGAAGTAACTGCCCTCAATACCCACGCCTGGCCTTTCTTTAGCTCCAGACACCTCAAGAAGATGACTGAAGAGTATCCAGCCCTTCCCCAAGGAGCAGAAGCCTCCCTACCACTGACAGGAAGTGCTTCTTGTGGTGTCCCCGGCATCCTCCGGAAAATGTGGATGAAGCACAAGAAGAAATCCGAATATGTGGGAGCCACCAACAGTGCATTTGAGGCTGATTAAAGATGCCTTGCATTGGCCAAGGTTCACTGGATAAGGGGAGAAAACTTGAGGATTGGTCCTGAGCCACATCCACCTTTGCTAGTAGCTGTTCAGAGCATCATCCTCCCTTACCAATTGCCCTGGCTTAGGGCACAGGAGAGGAATTTCCCTTGGAGGCAAAATAAAACTATTCCTTCTTATAATTGCTAAAGCTATTGGTCTGAAAGTGACTTTGAAGGTCATAAAGTTTATATTCCTATCTTTAAGAAAAGCAAAATCAAACTTGAATAACCCATTTTAAAGACCTCTAAGGAAGAAAGGAGGAAATTTCTCCATCTTCCTTGTTGGTTGTTCTAATATGTGTTATTTCTGGTATAAATGTAAGAGCCAAGGCACTTGTAAACAAAATGGTTCTTACTATTGTGTTAGCACATTTATTTCACCTTGATGAGTATTAATTTAATGTCAAAGCACTACATATATACTTAGTGATTCTAATACCCACTAGAGAGTGTCACCAAGATCACTTTTGATGCTCATTTGGCATGATTGCATGAATTCTCTATTCTTTTATGTGCAGTGTTTCTACAGAAAAAAAAAATGATTAAAAATTAAATGTGAATGCTAATGTTTTCTCCAGTGGCACAGCCTGGTAGAACCAGTAGTAATACCTTGCTTTAGAATCATGATTTTAATTTTTGAACATGCTTTCCCATTCATTATCTCTTCTTATATTCACATAATTGCTGTTGAAGAAAGCACAATTATTCCCAAAACACAGATGGGAAACCAGGGCATTAGGAGGTTATGTGATACCAGGTAGTAGAACTAGACACCAGGTCTTCAAATTCATCTCTAGCCAAATCCTTGCTTTCCTTACTCTACCAACTGATTTGAAGATGCTTTTGCAACTGAGTGGTGGGAGTATGTCTGTAGGGGCAATCTTTGAAGGGAAGAGCCTAATAAAATTAGAACAAGTCAGTGATTTGAATTCAATACATCATTATGTATTAGACAGAACTAGAAGAAATTGCCATTTCTGTGGGTCAAAACAATTGAATTTCATATGGTTCAAGTTAATACATAAAAGTATGCTTTCCGTCTTTCAATAGAAATGTCATCACCAACTCCATTGTCAAGTTGGTAGCCTTAAAATGATTTCATAATAATGATAATCATAATAATAGTTGTCATGTATTGAATTCCTACTATGTGCCAGGTACCATAGTGACACTTTACATACATTATCCCAATTTTTCTAGCAACTTTGAGTTAGGTGGCCTTATCCATGTAATAAATTTGACCATAGAGGTTAAATGATCAATCTGGTGTCATACAGGTATCAGGCTATAATGCCTGTGTTATATCTACTCCTGCACACAAAATAGTTTAGAACATAAAGAAAGAGCAAAGTTAGCAAATAATTTTCATCTCATGCTATATATGATTGATTAGTAGAGGCTGCCTGGAATGCTGTGTTTAGATGGAATCTGAGATAAAAGAATATAGAAAAGGATGCAGGATCAATTAGTAATGCCTGTTATTGAATGGAATAGTAGCATATGCCATGCATACTTGTTATCTTTGGCCTAAACTTGCCCCTACACACTTGTTTTCTAATTCAGAGATGAACAGCATTCTTTATATTAATCCACCCCACTTAATGAAGATTCCATGGTGAAATTTAGCCTAAGATTTTGTTGGAAATCACCATGTCTTGCTTCAAAGAAAAGTTTAGCCACATTCTAAGTCTCCAAATGTAGTTCATGTGAATGTTGCTCTGTGGCCACATGTTGCTCGTTGCTCTCTTGTTACCTATTTTCATATCCCAGGTGAACCATAAGAAGGCACGGGGGATAAGAAGCCAGGGATTCCAGGCTTTCAGCTTCAGTTCTTTGCTCTTTAACTTTTGTTTTAAATCTGAACATTTATTCCTCACGGCCAAATGTGATTTAGAGACCCGGGCACCTAGTACTCTTTAGATGAGTGGCTAGTCTCCACAGACTATTCAATAGCCTTATATGGTATAGAGTTTAGAGTCCAGAGCAAAGCTAGGGAGCAAACAGGTGATTTATGCTGAATCTATCAACCAGAGTATCTTAAGACTACTTTAAACTTACTTAATTTATAGCTGGTGTCTGCTACTTATATGTGGCAGCTAGAGACTTATGTAGGATGAAACTAAGTTATTTATTTTAATTTAAATATTTTATGGTAAGATGTTTGCCTTGTATAGAATTTTTTTTTTCCAATTCAAATAAAAATAAAGTATGCTTTGTCTATGATGCTAATAAACCACCACAAGAGCGTGCTGGAGGCTCACTCTTTGAATGAGAAGGAAGGGTTTCATGAAGGGAAAGAATTATGTATCTGGACCTCATTGCTCCTTTGCCTAAATCAGAGGGACCATAGGAAAGAACCCAGCATGTTCTTTCCACCCTAAGGCGATGTCTGGTATTGATATCACAGGCCCTGCCCAGCAGTCATACCAGAGCCATTTCTGACAGGGTTGGCCTGGTCCCACCTGTTCTGTCTGGGCTTCACCTCGTCCTGCTGACACTGTCCCCTCACTCTCCACTACTATCTCCAAGGACCACAGCCTGCTGGCCTCTCACCCCTCAGCAAGAGGAAGACCCAGCCTTCCTCCTCTGCTGCCACCTCATGTTCAACCCCTCCATAGTCAGCCTCTGTGACTCATGTTGCAGCTACTTGCTGAAGGAGGCCAAGGCTAGCAGCAGACAGCCGTCCGGGAATGACCCAGGCTGGAGTCTTCTCACGCCAGAGCCAACAGGTTTCCAGGACATTTAGGGTAATAAAATTGCCTCTGTTAGGACCAAGTCCAATCAAATATTTCAGTTCTAACTTGTGAGCGCTGTGACAATTCTCCCTGCAATACCCAGCACTTCAGTTGCCTTTAGAGCAGGCAGATGGGCAGTGGGTAGGGAAAGCAGCTCCAGCCAGAGCCCAGTTTTAAAAAGAATCAAGTGACAAGTTGTCTCTGACTCTAAATTGGCAGAAAAGGAGGGATGAGCAAGGAAAAATACAGGCAAAAGATGACTATCCTAAGGATGAGAATATATATTTTGTTTTTAATTTCTTTTAAGAATGTCAGCCTCCAATAAGAAGTTTGTGGTGAATCCATCACTACAATGGATGCAAAGAGAAAGAGATGTCATTCTACAGACCAGACCTCACTTCTAGAACTTTTTTTTTTTGTTGTTGTTGTTGCTTTGGGCCTGGAACAAGACTCACACCTATTAATATAATATCCTTTGTTGGAGGGAGGTGTGTGCCACCAAGGGTGAGGCAGCAAAAGGAACCTGACAGAGGGCATGTACATTAACGGGGTCCCTGAACCTGGGCCAACCTTGTTCCTATCCCCTTGCAGAGAAGCTCACTTTATAGGCCCTTTCCATGCCCTCAGACTTCTCAAGACCTGAGCAGACTTAAATAAACAAGTGCAGAGTCTTGAACCCAGCACTGGCCTCTTGCACAGACTACCTTGAGGCTATTTCCGCTGCACAGTCCCTGGGTGATGCAAAGGGTTAAGTTCTTGGCTACTAACAAAGGTTGGTTGTTTGACTCCATCCAGAGGCACCTCAGAAGAAAGGTCTGGTGATTTACTTCCAGGTCACAGCCACTGAAAATCCGACGGAGTGCAGTTCTACTCTGACATGCATGGGGTCGCCATGAGGCAGAGAAGATGCCGCAGTAACTGGTTTGGTTTGGTTTTATCCTTCCTGCCCCAGGGCATGTGCAGCCAAGCCTCTGCCTCTTCATTTTAGAGGGACCCTACAGTTCTCCTGAGAGGGGAGGGCCATCTGGATCCTGCCCAGCCCAAACTAAGCAGGCAAGTACCTGGAATTCTGGGAAACTGTTGACCAATGTGTTGGACCCTATCCAAAAAGGAGCAAATTGAGTTTCCTATCCTTTGTCCTCCTGGGCCCCAGGTATTTGGCAGGGAGAGGCCCCACTTCAACTGTTAACCAGGTTTTGCTCACATCACTCCACTGAACTTGGGATTCAATCTAAATTAAAGGAAGCAGTAAGCAGCTACCCAGCTCCACAATCTCGAGTTTGGCAGGAGGTTGAAGGTTAGGGAGGCTACACATCAGGAGTTAATCAGCAGTCCCTGATGAACAAGACACAGCTATTTCTAAAACAAATGTCACAGCTAGTGCTCCAAGTGTGAGCACATTCTCTGAGTGGCAGCATTCAGATGTAGGGCAAGAGGCAAAGCAAACAGTGGAAATGGTTCCTTTGTTTCACTCAGGACTAGTTCTGGATGAGGCAGGTTCATTTTCAGTGTGCCCCTGTCCCCACCCTCAGCCTCCCAGTCAACACACACACACCCCTTACTTTTCTCTCTGCTTCTTTTCCCAGTTTACACACACCCTACTCCAGGGCCCCTTGTGGGACCCAAGCATTCTCAATGGCCTCTGACCACCAGGACTGCCACTTCTTCTCCATGTGAGGCCTCCCATCCTGGTCAACCCACGCTCTAAATTCTCCAACTGCCAGAGATACTCACTGGCTGAGAGCTTGAGAAGCCATTTAACCTAGGGCAGACTGTTTCCTCAGTAGCTAAAAGGAAAATGTAGTAACTTCCTCCAAATGTCCTAGAAAAGGCTAAACAAAATAACCAGAGCTGGTGTCTAGCTCCCTTGCACCAATACTGCTGTACATGGGTGAACATGCTGGAATGCTTTCACCTTGCTGGGTAATGGCAGTGCCCCCAGCTCCCTGTTGCCCAGCCCTCTTCTGAGAGTCAGGGGCCCCAGAATCTTCCCAGTGCTATGACATGCATTGGTTCTCATTGGTCATCTGCACATGCTGTGCCAGTTGTTAGAGTTTTGACCATCCTCCTGGATACAATGCATTTGAATGCTTCTGTCTCATAAACTGAGGTATAGACCACATGAATGTAAAGGAGGCTAAGATATGGAGGAATAGTGTTCTGGTTACCTAGTGCCGCTCTGACGAGACATATACCACAGATGGCATGGCCGTAACAAACAGGA